GGAAGGAAGGAAGGAAGGAAGGAAGGAAGGAAGGAAGGAAGGAAGGAAGGAAGGAAGGAAGGAGAGAAAAAGAAAAAGAAAGATTGACCCCAGTATACAAGAGCATGTTCAGTAACACACAGAAACACAGACACCTCAAACCTGGTTGTCAGTGTTTCCCTCAGCCCAATACATCCAAGGCACGGCTGAATTTGCAGGACTGGCTGTGGAAAGGCTATATGGAAAACACAAACTCCTGTCTTCGGTGTTTGCAGTAGGAGCCAGAGCACCCCAAGAGAGGGTGAAGCATTTTCCCGATCCAATGACATTATCTGGAGGGAAAAAGTGGCCTCAGTTTTGGTTTCAGAAAAGCAAGGAGTAACCTTGGCAGGCTGCCTTAAACTTTGCTCCCTTCAGAAGAAAACCCCAACAGCAATATCCTCTCACTTTTATTTATAGACAGCAAGCAATCTTGTTCTCACACACACTGATGGAAATGTGCAGCACTTTCTCCTACCAGCACTGGGTGCTGAACACAGGGAGCCCTTCCATCAGGATGCAGGCCAGCTTTCCCTCAGAGTCTGGCTTATGTGAGAAATACACAGGGATGGTCAAACATGAAATTCAAGACTTTTTTTCTGCCTCACACAACAATAAAGTGTGGCGGAACACATTTAGTAAAGCCACTGATATGTGTCAGGGCAGAAGACACCGTTTTCCACTCCTCTGCACTCAGACTGAGCCCCCTGAAAAATCACCCCATTGACCAAATGTTTTTAAGATAACAAAATAAATAGAATCAACCCCGTATGTTTTTCTTGTTCATCCTTTGCTTTATGATCCATGAGACTACCCTTAATTTCCCTATTCCAACCATGAGAGCTACAAAAATAGAAAAATAGAAATGAAAACTGAGCTCATCAGACAAGACTACCCCCACTAAAGTCAAGCTGGCCCTGTGTGGGTTTTGGAGCCCACCCAGGCAGAGCAGCTTGCAAGGCCCGTGCCTAAGATCACAATGTACTCTGCAATTACAGCACAATGCTGACAATAGCATTTTGTCAGTAAAATAAGAAATAGTTGTGAAGACATGTGAGGAATATGTAGGGGGGATAACTAATTAAAAGAGGCAATTTTTGTTCACTATTCTTTTGAACAGTAGAGCAGGCTGATAGAAGGGTTATAGGATGGTACAGTATTTCCATCCACAGATGTCACAGGGACACTGCTGCACGTGATTTAAGATTAATCTCTTGAATCAAAATGTCACCATGTACACTAATGAGCAAAAACTCTCTGGCAGAGAATCTGTCCCTTGGGCTCCTGTTCCCAGGTAAGAAGCTTGTCTCCATACTATTGTAGAAACTCCCTCAGCTGAGAGCAGTGAGGTTGGTGGTATAACTTGCCCCTGGTTCACAATTTTCCATTTCAGACTCGCTGTCTCTGTCTTGGTTTCGGTCTATTTACTCGGAGCCATTTCTTAACAATGTCTAATTTCCTCAAGGAATCCCTCTGAGTCCCCTCTCTTAGAAATGCTGCCATATCTTTTTTTTAATCACTGAAAGGCACAAATATCCTTCCTGAGCCCTCTTACCATCCAGCCTGATTACACACATAGATTTCAGTTTCCATACATTTTGTACACAGTAGGAGTTCCCAAAATGCAGCCTCTGGGGATATAAAGTGTGGCCCCAACTGCAGCTCAATGAGATGAAAACAAAGCCGATCAGGTACTGTTCTTACTGTTAATGAGCCTAACCAGCAGGCAGTTATTACTCAGTCTGGAAGACATAAGTGGTTGGAATCATAGCACATTCATTTTTTATTTATAGTGATACACATTCAAATTAGAAGTAGCCCTCCAGCAGCTGGCATTTTGCCAGGGTCTGACCATCAGTGTGATAAAATTTGACTTGATGATATAGAATGCCTCTTGTTGCCTTTTGTTTTTTTTTTAATATCAGTTGCCTCTTCCCCTACTCACAATTCCCTTGACTATCAAAAGTGAACAATGAGGCTTAATTACTTTAAGAACCTTGTCCTCTTGTCCTTTACTGAAAATAAAAGAGTATTTTTTCTTTCTTACTTGATGGTGAGGTACAAGTCAAACATGATATGACCTTCTCGTAAACAAGTAGACTCAAGCCTTCTGGCAAATAAAAGAGTCGAAATGAACACTTGGACGAGAACCTCAAAGAAATGGGTTTTTGGAGACAATGAACATTATTAGCCTGTTAATCTATTAATGGCAACTGTAAATACCTCACTCAAAATCATAGTGACTCTGAAACGTTTAACTGGAGAGGCTCTGTGAGCCTGCCCAGGACAATGTGATACGAGGAAAACGTAGTAATTCGCCTCACCTTGCTGGCCATCGGTTTGCAATCTAACCCCTCCCCTGAGTTTAAGTTACAAACCTCAGTAACTGTGTGGCAGACTTGACAGCAATTAACATTACTCAGCTGCCAGCTGGGTTTTAAAACCTCCCTTGCAGGCGATCTTGTTACGTAGATTTTAAAAACAGCCTGACAGGGTGCTGCTCTGCGCCAAGGAGCTGGGTCCTGCCTCTCTTAGCATGGTGAGATTTTGCCACTGATTACAGGGGGAGCTGATAAATCATTGGCAGAGTTAAGGTAAATGCACCGAGCTGTTGTTCGCGGCATGAGGCTTGGGGTTTTTATGCTAACCTCATCGAGGGGGCTTCACAGAAAGTGCTGTGAATAAATTATCCTTATTAGTTTGATTCTTAGTCCTGTGCAGTCCTGTAGTCGTACTCATCTACAGGATGCGCAACACACTGCGAAGAACTCCTAGACCCTCACACCTCAGGGCTCAGACTTTACAAATCGCGAAGAACTTTCTAAGTCATTTAAAGCTGAAAAATCAAAGTTTTGTTCGAAATCAACTAGCTGGAGTGGCACTCCCATCAGATTTAAAGCTAGCCCAGCGCGGCTGCGGCTCAGTCCCGGCTGGGGCTGCCCGCCGAGCTGCGGAAGCGTTCCGAGGTGTGAGCAGCGCGTCCCGCTGAGGGCGGACACGGACCGGGCCGGAGCGGGCCCGCGCCGCCCCGCCTCAGCCGCGCGCCGGGCCCGCCTCTCCCCCCCCCATTGGCTGGCGGGCGGGGGCGGGGCGGGGCGCGGCAGGGGCGGGGCTGCCGTCAGCTGTTCGCGGCGCGCCCGCCGGCGCCGGCCGCAGTTTGGCGGTGCGGAGGCTGCAGCGGAGGCGGCTCCTCCCGGGACGCCCCGTCCCCGAGGGACGCCCGTCCCGCTTCTCGGTGAGTGCCCAGGAAGCGCCCTCGCCACTGGGGGCCGGTCGCTCTGTGCCAGGACGCCGTTGAGGGCGGTGCCGAGGCCGGGCGCGATCGTGACAGGGAAGGGGGTTCGCCTCGGGGCTGCCCCGGCCCGGCCGATCCAGCCCGGGGTCCCGTGCCTGCTGGGGAGCGGGAAGAAAGAGGGAGGGTGCGGGCGAGGAATGAGCTCGGTGGGCGCTGAGAAAGCAGCTGATTCGCTGATGTAGGCGACGGCTGATTCCACAGCCAGCGCTGCCTCTCCCGGGCCGCCCCGCCGAGCTCGGGAGTCCCGTCCCATGGCGCTGCCCGGAGAAGCCGCGTTAAACCTCTTGGCCGGGGGCACATCTGCGGGGCTAGCGTCCGGGCGGGGAGGAGTTAAAGGCGGCCAGCGGTGGCGAAGCGAGGCCGGCCAGCTTTGTTTTGGGACGCTGGCACGCACGTGTGCGCTGAGCCCTCCCTCCGTTCCCGGCCCGCCGCCTGTCAGCGCGGGCGTGCGGCTGCCCCGGGCCGCGGCTGTGTGCGAGGAAGTGCCGTGGGCAGGACACGGCTCCGGAGACGCGGGCGCTGCCCGGGCAAAGACCCGTAGCCCGAGCTGCCCGGGGTCTGTGGCTCCCAGCGTGAGCTGCGTTTGGAGGTTGTAGAAGGAGTTCCATTGTAGAATGAGCTGCCCTTCGCGCTGCATCGGCATTCTCTGAAAATCTCTGCTAAAGGGTCGGACCGTAATGCAGGAGGTCGAGTTAAACTTCTTGGTTTTAAACCCTCTTTTGTTTGAGGTTTGCTCTGTGCCTTTGCTGCACTTCCCTTGAGGAATGCCCGTGTCCCAGTGAGGCTGACAGATGAGATCTGGCAAACTTTCCTGTAAAGGCAAAATACATTCCCGCCTGCTTCTCTGTCAAGTGACTGATCCAGCAGAAAAGCTGGCAAGGAGATCATCCATGCCTGCCTCTTGGGGCCCATAACTCCTTTCAGTGTGCTACTTTAAGCCATGGATGAGAATGTTATGAGTGCTCTGCCACTGTTGTCATCCAGCAGAGTTGCATCCGGCTGTGGGACTGGTACCTGTTCCGCTCTGCAGAAACTTCTTTTGGAGTTGTGGCTCAGTTGAGTGAACTGCTGAGATGCGGCAATTTAAATAGGCAGAGTGCCCCCCAGCCAGAGCCCTGCAGAAACTGTTCTTGCACTGCTTGCTCCTGTTGTCTCTAGCTGGTGTCCGGAGTGCTGCTCACCTGGGGGGAGATGGGAGCACCAAGGGCAGCGCTGAACACATCCTTATAAAATTATTATTAATGTCTCCTTCAGGCCTGAAATTCCTCTTGCTAGTCTTCCATTCTGTTAAATGCTTCGCAAACCAGAGCAAAGGAAGAGACATGAAGAGTTGAATTTCACTGCCTTGTTTGGAACTGGGTGGAAATCCTGGAGATGGATCTCTTAGGAGTCTGTCTTCCAATTGGGTTAGATGCACAGGTAACAGTAAAGGGACTCGTGGCATTTTTGGTAATACTGCTTCTAATTGCTTTATGTTTGCAAAGAGCTCTGAGATAGTGATTTAGGGTTCATGGGGGTTTTTCCCCTCTACCATTTTTGTTCATCTTTGTGCTGTAACAGAGCTCAGGAGTGTTTACTGTGGCAACTACAGAAATCCTGCTTTAAACATTGACACCAGCCATGTTTTTCTTGAGTAGTAGGATGAACCATTGCACTAACGGCACATGTAGGCTTGAGGGTAAGAGGGATAAGGAAGTGACTACATTGCCAAGTTTGGGACATGTCTTAGGTTGAGCTGAGGGGAGAAATGAGAAGTTGAAAGGAAAGTTGGCCCTCATAGGGAGAAGTAATGGAGAGCTTCACAGACATGGCTTTGACAACTCTTAAGTTTTGCAACCACTTGGGTTTCTTAAAAATCTGGTCTTGCAGCCTTATGATTACAAGAGCTTTTCTTTATTGATAAGAAATAGGTGGGAAAAAGTGAATGGGATATACCATAAAGTTCAAGTATAGCAGGCCAAAACAAAGCAGACCCCAAAGAAGCTGAGTGGCCATGGGGCTCTGAGAAGAATCTGGGTTGCTTTTTGAAATGTCTTTTCAGTTTCTATGTGCTGAGATTGGGGGTTGGCTCTCTACTTGTGAGCAGGTGTGGAATTGGAGCTGTGGACTTACACGCGTGTGAACTTTGTCTCTCTCTGGCTCAGCACCTGAGGACTTTCTGCAAAGCCTTAACCTTCACCAGAGTTGCTCACCTCTCCTGTCCATGCAGATGGGCAGCACTGGGAAGTGGGGAAGAGGGAAGGTGTGGTAAAATCGGTTGTGTTTTACTGTTGGAGCAGAAGGCATTCTCTCCTGGACAACATTCTTGCTGTGTCTTAGCTGTTTCCTCAAATGTCCCTTTATTGCAGGAGCAATGGATCGCCCCAGCTACCTGGAAGAGGACTATTCTAGCCTGGATGGGCTGGACGATGACGTGTTTCACTCTGATGACTTTGGACTTGCAGGTCAGCCTGGTGAGATGACTGCAACTGGCTTTTTCACACAGAACCAGTCCTACAGCTGCCTTCTGGGGAGGTTTCAACTATTCCCCCTCACACACTGCTGTGGTCCCGGTATCAGACATCCTGAGCAGCAGGACAAGGCAACTCAAACACTCAGCCCATCCTCTTCCAGTCAGGATGTTATGTTGCCTTGTGGAGTCACTGAAGAGCCACGGAGACTCTTCTATGGTAAGAGCACTCCAGTGTCACTAGCTTTGCAGCAAAGAAACTGTCCCTTTAGCACTTCCCCAATCAAGCAAGGTCTCTTTCATTAGGGTGTTTTATTAAAGGACTGAAATTATTTTGCTTTAGTCCTACTCCCTCAAGAAAGACAACCTGTATTTTCTTACCCTTGCTTGTCCACTGCAGGAACCAGACATCTGCTCATTGCTTCTGCTGTCTTTGATATTCCCTCTTTCTCTCTCTGGCTTTATTCTGCCACATTTGATTTTACTGCTAGATGTCTAAATGTTCACCGTACTTCATATCCTACAATTTGCCTACATTTTTAACTGCCAATGGTCTGTCTCATCCACATAGGAAATGGAAACTCCTAGGAGTTTTCAGTGGAGAGAAGAAGATGCAAAAAGTTACAGCTTTTAGGCTCTTCACTGGAGTTAAAGTTTCTGAATAAAGTAGCATGTCCATCCAGTATTTTACTAGTAACTGATGGGTCACCACTCAGCTTTGTGTATCCAATTCAGCTTTAATTCGAATCACTAAAATCACTAAATGACAGAAAACTGAGAAAAAACTGACAAAAAAGATACTTCTGCCTTTTGTAGAAGGGGGAGACAACTTGAGGCAGAGATCCTGTAAAACTGCAAAACTGTCCTTAAAAAAATCCCAAGCCACAGCATTTGGCTGAGCTGTAAACAAGCAAAAGGAATCAATTTTAAGATCCTGCCACTCATTTGACTATGGGAATCAACACATCAGTGCTCTGTTTAATCAATATAAGTTTATTTGAAATCTGGGCAAATCTTTTACTGCACTGTGTTACAGCATACAGTCATTCTTTGGCCTTCAGAAACTAGACTTCAAACGTCAAAAATGTGGGACTATGTACAGCTCTTTCCTCCATGAAGTGTACTAAGCAGAAAAGATAATCTTTGCACTGGAAGAATGACTCTTGTGCTCTGTTTTGTAGGGAGTGCTGGTTACCGTTTACATGTCCCTCCAGCTGGCTTTGTGTTGGATCCGCAGCTCCAGGAGGACCCTCAGGAAGGTCAGCGGGAAGCACGTGCTGAGGTGCAGATCGCACGGAAGTTGCAGTGCATTGCCGACCAGTTCCACCGGCTCCACATACAGAGGGTACGGTGTCTCTGCAGGGGAAAGTGGGCTTTACCTGTCCAAGAGTGCTACTCTGAGGACTGGCTCCAGCCATCAGCTAAGTGAACCGTTGTCTAAGACAGCAGACTGCCAGCAATGATAAAACGGCAGGAGTATCCTGATGCATTTTGCTTATGCTAGATTGCTTACTCTTTCTAAAGACTGGCAGGTGGAGGGAAGAGAATATGAGGGAATATGAATATGAGCATTTAGTGCCCGGGAAGGGAGCTCTTCTGTTAGCTGCTGCTATTCCAGCTCTTCCTGTTCATCAGCAGTGGGTTTGAGGTTTTTCCCAGGCCTCTTGCTTTTTATTACAGCTTTTACTCTTCTCCATTCTCCTCACTACCAGCACCTTCTCTTCTGTGGTACATGTAGCCATCAGTGGCTTATGTCAGCTCATTGCCTTGGAGATAACAAGCCTGGAGTCTGTTCTGACGCTCCTTGTTGTCTAACGGTAGTTCTATGTAATGTTGTAAAGAATATTTAGATCATACTAGACTTACTAGCAGCTACTAGTAAGACAGTCGTAGCTAGTGTCTCAGACTTGTGACTAACTTCCTCACCACAAAATACACCTGTAAGATGCTATCAGGTCTGAAAAACACACTCCAGATTCTTGGTTTCTTAAAAAAACAAAGCAAAACAAAACAAATAAAAAACCAAAACCCAAACACTGCTGTTCAAAGAAACAAAATAACCATTACCCCCAGAACCCTTGATTCTTTCTTCCTTGCTCTCCTTCCCCTTTGACTAGAGATAAAATGAAAATCTCAGCCCATAGAGAGATGGTCAGAGGTGGCAGAAGCTTGGCAGTAGGCAGCAGTTTGCCCCTTCTATGGAAGCCCAACAAGGAGGGTGTGCATCTGCTTGTATATGAAGAAATTTTGCTGACTTCAGAAAGGGACAGAAAGTTTATCCTACTCCAAGTGAGTTTGTCCTCTGTTAACTGTGGGATCGTTTGCACCCCTTCTCTAAGGTAAGTGAGGATCTCTGTCCGGGTCAGAGAGTGTGGCTTGTGGCTGGGCAAAAGCTTGGTCTCTCTGTGTCACCTGAGAGATGAGGAAATTCTGAGACTACTCATCTCCTAATAGGTGGATGATTAAAGAAGGAAAAGGAAGATTAGCCTGTAGAAATGTAGATGGGGCTATGAATGTCATTTAGCAAACTGCAGGAATAAAGAGCTACCACGAGATTTTTAACGCGTTGTTTGTGGTTGAATGGGGTTTTCCCCGGTGGCGCCTTTTCGCCAGCGTTAGCTGCAGGCCCCGCTCTCTCGCCAGGCTGTCTCTCAGGAAAGGGAAGGTTTAACAACTTGGCAGAGGAGCCCTGCACCGAACTGGTGGAACTGGTTGTAACTTGACCCCTTTCATCTGGGGGGAGTGTCCCTATCTGATGCCCGTGCCTTGCAAACGCGTCCCGGAGCGTCCCCCGGGCCGGCCCCAGCAGGGCAGGCGGGGTCGGGCTCCCGGTGCCCGGCCGCGGCTCCCGGTGCCGGCCCGCCCGCGCAGCCCCGGCCGGCGGCCAGTCCGGCGTGTGGAGCCGTAGTAAACAAAGGCGTCCGGCTGTGCTGGGCGGCGCGGCCCGGCCCGGCCCCCGGGGCCCGCCAGAGGAGGAGCTCCGCGCTCTTTGTTTGAACTGGAACAGCAACAAGTTGTAAAGGGGACGGGAGCCTTCAGCCATTTAAATCTGAAAACAAAACGAGGAAAAAAATACCAAAACCAAACCAACTCGAAAACTTAACCCGAGGACAGAGTAGTTCAGCCAGTGGTTATCCACAGCCTGACCCTAGGATAGGCCTTGGCATTTGGATCTGCTGAGGGATGCTTTCTTGTTTGTCAGGAAAACTGATATTGAGCCACATATTGGTGTCCAAAGCACTGATCCCTGTAGAGTGTTTGGTTGTCATGCCCAATCCCTTCCCTGCCAGTCCTGCATGGAGGATTTCCTTTGGCTTTTGGCATGAATCCCCCGTGGAGAACCCCCTCTGTCCTATAAGCAATGTCTCTGCCCGGCCCGTTGCTGAAGGAGCAGGCGGTCTGCCCCTGGAGACACGAGAGCCGTTCTCAGTGTGCTGAGGTTTGGAAGGGGCAGTCTCTGAGGCATGGAAAACTGGGCTGTCGTTTATCTTGCCGTGAAACTAACCCCTGATTTGAAAACCCCATTTCAGCTTGTCTAAAACATTTGGTCAAAACCAACTTTCCAGAGTGGTGTCTTGAATCAGATTTAGAATACCACAAAGTTAGTCACACCAGTGTGGTCTTGTGAAGTCCTGAGAGAGAGCAAGCTTGGTTTTCAACAAGCTGTGCCTGTTTTCAGAGCCTACAAAACATTTATCTGTGAACGTGTGAAATGAAAATGTGTGTGCCTTTTCAGTGGAAGTTAGGAAAGGCTTTTAGCATTGGAATGGTGCATCCAGCTAGCTCAAGAGCTGCCTTGCCATGGCTCTTGACTTCTGTGAGACTCTCCAGCAGTTCAGGTATCGCCCCCATTCTGCTGCTGCAGCAGCAGCAAGGTTGTGTTGACACAAAGGGTGCTGGTTAATGTACATCCCTGGCTGAGAGAGAAACTGAGCAGGCAATTGCTGCTGAGGCTGACATCACTGAGTTGTCATTGGACTCTGCTGCATGCATGGTCTAACCCCATCCTACACTTGGAGCCCTGGAGAGTCATTGTTATCTCTTCTCTGGGCTTCTGGAGCTAAATGGTATTTATTCTGTGGTTCTTGGCTATACAAAAGATTTTTGGGTATGCATCTAGCAAGAATAAGAAAATTGGCTGCACCTATGCTTGCTTTTGGCATGAAAATCACTTTCAGAGTTTCATTTCCTATTAATATGTTAAACAGAAAACAGTAATATAAAACCTGGCTATTTAATCCTTAGAACAGTGCTAGAGCAATAACACAACATTCCCTAGAACTCCATGTCTTTCATCTCCTCAAGATGCTGAATTTCTTGTAAGAAGACTTGAGCAATATTCTGTGTTCCTAAATAGCAGAGCCTGCTACAGGTTGATCTAGATTGCAAGGGCTCTTGCAGAATGACTTGTGAGACCCATAAAGATGGGGTTTTTTTGAGTTCTTTACTGTCTCTTACCTGATTGAGGCTGTGTAGCTTCTAGCAGACTTCCCTGTTTTATTTTTTTCACCCTGCCCCTGGAAGACAAAGATAGAGGCAAGCCATGCTTTCTGCAAGAGAAGCCAGTACCTGCCACCTTCTCCTTGGTTTGAAGCAACTGTGTCTTTGCTATGCAATCAGTGAACTGCTGCTGTAGCTCAGCCTGTGGCTGAACTTCAAGAGCATGCTCTGACATTATGGAGAACAGAGCTGAGCTTATGGGTTGGTTGGCTGGGATATGTTTCCCACACCCCACATGTCCAGGCTGTGGCAAAAAGTGCTTGGGCTCTGCTTCAGGTCCTGAGTGCACTTGGGTTTCCTTGCCTTGAGGAGGGGCTTTGAGCTGTGCTGAATGGAGAGTGTATTTCATGACATGAGGGGTTGTTAGATGGGGTTGTGTGAGTACACAACCAGGAATGGTGGCGGCAGCAAAGCTGTCCCAGAGGAGTAGGGGGTTATCCAGGGGTGGGGTGGATGACACTGTATATCAGGATCACACCCCTTCAGTTTGATGGGCTCCAGTGAGGCATTGGAACTCTATAGCTTTTTCCAAATAAAATAACTCTTTTTAAGCAAGCTGCAGCTTTGAGGGGACTGCTTTTATCATATTTCTTCTTCGTGGAGATAAGATCACTTCACAGGGGATAAAATTGTCTCTTTAAGAGCCAAGGAGTGGTAGCCTTGAACAGTTCTGGGCTCAGGTCCAAGCAGAGCCACTGACTTGCTGTATGACCTCAGACAAGTCTCTTGACCTCCTTGTGCTTCAGTCAACCCATCTGGAAAGCTCAGTTTAAAAAAAGCTGAGCCTCAATGAGAACCAGATGCTGAATCAGAACTGAGCTTTCTTGAGTAAATAAGTGCATTACAAACAACAACAAAGTCCCTTTCCAACACATCAGGAATCCTGCAGTTGATATAGATATGCTGACCATGCTCAAAAATCCTCTGTGGATCTAGCTATAGAAAACTTTGTTTCTCTAAATTCCCCAGTTGGTTCAGCAAGTCTTACCATCACTGCAACAGGGTTCAGCAGCCCATGGAACACAAATGCCTGCATCCACACTGGCTGTGGGCAGACAGCTAGGCATGTACCTGTTTGCCTCAAGCTAATGACACTGAAAATGTCCAGAAGGAAATGTTGTTTTCCTTTGAAAGTGAAACGTGTTATGTTTTGCATACTTCTTCCTGTCTGTCTCTCATAAAAGTTATCAGGGCCTCCTCTGAGACACTTCTACTTATGCAACAGGGAGCCTGCATCGCTTGTTGGAAACTTACTGGCGTGAGAGAATGGGTGCATAGTACTACATGTGCATCATTTATCCCAACTCCGTCAGGCTTTTTTCACTATTAAGGATATTCAGGGCATTTTAACAGTTGCTTTTTACATTGGAATTGTTTGCAGAAATCTGTTCTTTATGATGACCTTATATTTTAGGAAAAATGTTCAGGAATGCTTCCTAATAATAATGCAGAGATTCAGACTGTTCTGCAGCTAAGCCTGTAGCACCAGCAGCTCCATACTTCACTTGCATCTACAGTCTCTCTGAGACCTGGGGTGTGTGTTTTTGTTCATTTGTTTCTTGAGTAGGTCAGTGTGTTTCAGGATCTTCCCTGCTGCTCTGCACAGCAGCGGGTCACCTCTTCAGCTCTGCTTTCTGTGCGTTGCCCACTGGTGCAGGACTCGAATCTCCAGCTGAGGATGCACATGGTGAGGGAGAGAGCTCCTGAAGTGAGTGAGCCCAATTTAAAGGGCAGGGGGTAGGGTGGGTGTGAGTTTGGGAAGCCTGAGATGTAAAACAAAGTTCTTTCAGGGCTATGGAACTGGAATCCTACGCTCCATTCTTATGGTCAGTGGAGTAAAAAATT